ATCTTTTACATGATGGATTTTCCACTTAATATTGAAAATGTAAAATAGTCAATCACTTAGCGAAAAAATTAGTTACATCAACATTTAATTGACGGAAAGACGAAATTGAAAATTGAAGTTGAAGGACGTTTTTTTGTACTTTTTGAAGTTTAAGGATGAATTGGTTCAAAAGTAAAAGTTGAGGGACCAATTCAAATATTTAACCTAAAAAAATATGTTAGCTACGTCAGCATCACTATTCAATTAATCTTTAAATAGAAAAAGTTGAAAGTTGAAAGTTGACATCCTTAAATATAAAAAGTTGAAAGTTAACATCCTTAAATAGAAAAAAATTGAAAGTTGACATCCTTATTTAGAAATTGACAAAGTTAACATCCTTATTTAGAAAAAAATTGAAAGTTGACATCCTTATTTAGAAACTGTCAAAGTTAACATCCTTAAATAGAAAAAAGTGTAAAGTTGAAATCCTTATTTAAACCTTTACTCTATAATGGTTTAAACAAAACTATTAACCATTATCTTAAACTATTATACCAAATGAGTACTAAGAATATTCTCAATTATTAAACTTTTACGTTCACTTATCCCCAAAAAAAAAAATTGTTAAGTTCATGTTTGGATGGTGGAATAATCAAACAATTAAAGTAAGTTAATTTTTTTAAAAGAAAATTAGGAACTAAAAATTTTGCAATTAATAGAAATATAGTTACAATACAAGTAAGATTATAAGTTTAATATTTTAATGTATTATTAAATGAGTGATATATATAATATCATAGGTAAATTATCAAATAAAAAAAACCAATCAAATAATATTACACTAAAATTATAAATTTATAATACTAAATAACCTATGTTGTTGCCGTTGTTGTAGTAATTATCGTTATTGTTTCTGTCAATGTCAAAGCAGGAGAAGTCGGCAGTGAATGAGAGTAAAGGTTGTCACAGCTTGGAGCTAGAGATTACAGTTGGGGTGGATGGTGTTTATAAAATGTATATAAAGAGCAGTAAAACGGTGTGTATTGGTGTTAAAAATTGAAATTCAGTTAAAATGCAATGTAGAAAGAAAAAATGTCACATCATTTGTTTTTTTCACATCATTATTTTTTAAAGAAAGGGTGCAATTTTTTGGCAATTTAACATGATAGCTATCAGTTCAATTAACGAAATGATTTCAAAAATTAAAGTTTAAAGATATTTTTAATATT